AATTTTTCTCAAGGACGCTCAACGTCGACTAATTTAACAATATCCTTTGTCCAGTACGGTGGCCATAACTGAGCAATATAGGACTTACTAGTGAACTGAAGCTTGTTAAGTTAGGTGTTTAAGTTCTGTTGGCAATTATTTGTATTAATAGTACGTGGGTGAAGCATTTACGAAGGCGCGACTCGAGCGGAGGGCGCTAGTGAACAGAGGGTGTTATAGTGAACAGTGGGTGCTATAGTGAACAGTTGGGTGTTCGAGAACTGTTCCAATTTCACTATTTTTGAATCGTCTCTAAAGTTTTTTTTTTATTCATAAACAGTTGGATTGCCAGCTGGATTAATGAGTATTTGGCTACTGTTTATGAGGACGGTCTGTATCGATGAGGACGGCTGTATTGATGAGGACGGGCTGTATTGATGAGGACGGGCTGTATTGATGAGGACGGTCTGTATTGATGAGGACGGGCTGTATTGATGAGGACGGGCTGTATTGATGAGGACGGGCTGTATTGATGAGGACGGGCTGTATCGATGAGGACGGCTGTATTGATGAGGACGGGCTGTATTGATGAGGACGGCTGTATTGATGAGGACGGCTGTATTGATGAGGACGGGCTGTATTGATGAGGACGGGCTGTATTGATGAGGACGGTCTGTATTGATGAGGACGGGCTGTATTGATGAGGACGGGCTGTATTGATGAGGACGGGCTGTATTGATGAGGACGGTCTGTATTGATGAGGACAGGCTGTATTGATGAGGACGGGCTGTATTGATGAGGACGGGCTGTATTGATGAGGACGGCTGTATTGATGAGGACGGGCTGTATTGATGAGGACGGGCTGTATTGATGAGGACGGCTGTATTGATGAGGACGGGCTGTATTGATGAGGACGGCTGTATTGATGAGGACGGCTGTATTGATGAGGACGGTCTGTATTGATGATGACGGGCTGTATTGTTGAGGACGGGCTGTACTGATGAGGACGGGCTGTATTGATGAGGACGGGCTGTACTGATGAGGACGGTCTGTATTGATGAGGACGGTCTGTATTGATGAGGACGGCTGTATTGATGAGGACGGCTGTATTGATGAGGACGGTCTGTATTGATGATGACGGGCTGTATTGTTGAGGACGGGCTGTACTGATGAGGACGGGCTGTATTGATGAGGACGGGCTGTACTGATGAGGACGGTCTGTATTGATGAGGACGGTCTGTATTGATGAGGACAGTCTGTATTGATGAGGACGGGCTGTATTGATGAGGACGGTCTGTATTGATGAGGACGGGCTGTATTGATGAGGACGGGCTGTATTGATGAGGACGGGCTGTATTGAAGAGGACGGGCTGTATTGATGAGGACGGTCTGTATTGATGAGGACGGGCTGTATTGATGAGGACAGTCTGTATTGATGAGGACGGGCTCTATTGATGAGGACGGGCTGTATTGATGAGGACGGGCTCTATTGATGAGGACGGTCTGTATTGATGAGGAAGGCCTGTACTGATGAGGACGGGCTGTACTGATTAGGACGGTCTATATTGATGAGGACGGTCTGAATTGATGAGGACGGTCTGTATTGATCAGGACGGTCTGTACTGATCAGGACGGTCTGTATTGATGAGTAAGGGCTGAGTACCGGTGATGAGTCAGGTCGAGGCCAGTGAAACCTGGGTGCCCCTGGGGTTATGGGGCCGCTGGTGAGCACATTGGGGCCGCGATGTCGGCCTCGGCAGAGAGAAACTCAGCCCCATGTAAGAGGAAGTCTATCACTTGCCTCAGCAACGGGGCGACTGAGAGCCAAATATTTCCGCGAGCGGAGTCAGAATAATTATAGTTTTGCCCAAGTGACAACAGTATACAACCCCTCTTGCCCAAGTGTCAACAGTATACAACCCCTCTTGCCCAAGTGTCAACAGTATACAACCCCTCTTGCCCAAGTGTCAACAGTATACAACCCCTCTTGCCCAAGTGTATTTTGTTGCAATCTCGTTAGCTACTTACACGGTTTAATGTATGCATATCATTAGTCTTTTATAGCACGGGGTGTTCAGTAACTGGGCCATAAGTGACTGTAAACCCCAGCAGTTTACATATTTACTGAACATGTTCTACCCGCACCACGCATCTAAAGGACTGAGGTGTACAACCGGTTTTTCGAAAGTAGGAAAACTTTCATCACCATCCAAATTCATCAACCTTAATCTAATACACCTTAGATCATCTACCAATGTTCATTAATATTCAATAATTGTGTTCCACTGGATATCTGTAACATTTAGACTTTCATCCGTACAACTGAACATTTCTTGGACTTTATCTATCAAGTTAAACTTTATCTATCAGTCGTCAGGGAGTCTGACGGCTGAGTGGACAGCGCTCGGGGCTTATTGTCCTAAGGTATGGGTTCGATCCCCAGCGGAGGCGGAAACAAAAATGCAGAGTTTCCTATACCCTGATGCTTCAGTTCACTTAGCAGTAAATAGGTACCTGGGAATTAGACAGCTCCTACGGGCTGCTTCCTGGGGATGTATAACAAAAAGGAGGCCTGGTCGAGGACCGGGCCGCGGGGACACTAAGCCCCGAAATCATCTTAAGATAACCATCATGCAGAATACATTAAGTTACACCTGAGTCCAACTTCAGCAGTTCTGGTGGACGCATGCTAGAATTCGATGAAGACTAGGGACCAAAGGCTTTACAACACCCTTCAGAACCTCTTACTGTGGGGGCCTAATTCAAACTACGAACTGCGGGTACTAACAGCCCAATTGATCCAACCGTTACTCAGGTAACCCTTCCTCTCAACCAAGAGGTCGCGTTTCTTACGTTATGGTAACCAACATTACAAACAGTGAAAAAAAAATGGATTCACAAATATCTACGTTTACTGGGGATCGGACTCTATAGGTTAGGAGGGTTGCTTGGGTGCGTACGTTTCTGGTTAGGTTAGGATAGGGTTGGGTTTGTTACGGAGTGAACCAGCAGGCTACGTCAGAGACCGGGCCCCAAGGATAGTGGTTGCGGGAACCGTCTAATAATTGACGCAGTGTCTGCTTCCTTCCTGCTACATACCTCATACCTAGTACTATGTTCCACATACCACATATCCAGTACCATGCTCCACATACCAAATATCACATTCCACATATCATATTCAACATACCACATACCAAATATCACATTCCACATATCATATTCAACATACCACATACCAAATATCACATTCCACATATCATATTCAACATACCACATACCACATATCACATTCCACATATCATATTCAACATACCACATACCAAATATCACATTCCACATATCATATTCAACATACCACATACCTAATATCACATTCCACATATCATATTCAACATACCACATACCAAATATCACATTCCACATATCATATTCAACATACCACATACCAAACTCCAGCCTTCCACAAACTGTAAATTTTCCCTAGACATCGTGTTTATAGTACTGATTAAAGCGGAGGAACCACCCACCACACAACTTCTATTGAAAAGACAGAAGGAAAAAAGATACGCTCAAGATTATCATAACAAATATATTTGTAAAGAATAGGACTCATTTACTTTGGGTCCTCAACAGTGACATTTCTCTGATCAAATTTTACATGTAATTTAACAACATCCTAAACAGGGATTTATGCATTTTTCATGTCTAAAGACATTCATTGTATAAATCTTTGAGCTTTTTCTCTCTCAGTTAACGACAAGGGAGTAAGAGAATTTGAGCAAATTGCATTTTATTACCGTGTTCCTTGAGACAGAAAATCAAGTATTCTGCGACAAGACAACTGTATCTTCCTGCTAAAAGTCGACATACTATTCATTTAATAAAATAATTATCAGAAATGTTGATCTTGAGCAACGGTATATAGGGTAATCGAGCCTTCATACATGTTTCGAAGTAGCTTGAATTTATCACGCTCAAAGGCGTTTCGTGCATACGTTTCCCCTGGAGGTGGTACCAGAGGGGGAAAATCCCAGAGGCAGTACCAAAGGCGGTACTGGAGGCAGTACTGTAGGTGGTACTGGTCTCTCTTGGGGTACTTGGATCCTATTATGACTTTATTACTCAACTTATTCAATTATTTGAGTGTACGTTTACACCATGAGCCTATTGGAATGAGGCTGTGGCTCTTCGCACGGTCTTGTATTTGTTGGTCTTTCTGGGGCTCCGTGAAAGTAGGAGGGACACCACGTGCTCTACTGGAGACAGGTGTGAACTGGAGTGGAGGCACACGTGAAATCTCGCACCATCTCCTTACCTCCTTTCCATGGCGTCACTCTGATCCCATGTAAACACTAGTTGACAGTCATTATAGGTCTGTTCGGTTGGCATTCTTGTTGAGCCGGATAACTGGCCGTTATGAGGCTCCTCTTAATAGTATACTGGCATCATCATGGCTTTCATAATATAACTCCTCTGACCTACAGCAAATGAAACCATGGTGGCCTTATTGGCTTGCTACTTCCTTTGCTGCAGATTCATCTGTGTTCAATGAGGAGATGAACGGCGAGGCGAAGAGTTATAACGACACAAGGAGCCTGACTATCAAAGGGAGTTATCAAGGCAGTGCTTGGGACGTAAAATATAAATCCCCAATATGAGGGGCTGTCACTACTAGAAAGTGTCATTTATCCATCCTAGACTATAAAAATATATATATATATATATATATATATATATATATATATATATATATATATATATATATATATATATATATATATATATATATATATATATATATATATATATATATATATATATAAAATAGGAAGGGAGTACCACCTCTAGCTGGAAGAAGGGGGACCCATAGCCTCGGAGGAAACCACGCATAACGCATTAGAGGGAATGTTTAGATCCCCTCCAATACAGTTATATATATATATATATATATATATATATATATATATATATATATATATATATATATATATATATATATATATATATATATATATATATATATATATATATATATATATATATAATGTGTGTGTGTGTATGTGTGAAAATTTGTGTTTATTTAGTTTGCTTATCCGGCATGCATTTGAACACCAACTAACCAAATTTCTAGCAAATTTGGCATGATGTCAGAATGCCTTATGGAAGGTCTCCTGGATTGCTTGCGGGAAGATCTTCATGAAAGCTTCCAGTAAAGCCCCTTGGAAGGTATTCTAGAAGCCAATGAAGAACACATAAGCAGTGTTGGGGGTGATTGGTGTGGGAGGTTTGTGTTGTTGCTGGGAGCCGTGAGTCCACGGAACACGTGGACGGGTGAGGGCCTCAGGAGAGTCGACCAATGGGAGTGGAGGACCACTGGGGTCATCTCGCTGGTCACCTGAATGTAGGTGCAGCCACAGTCCTCGCGCGGGCTGAGGGGGAATCAGGTCTAAATTATTGTCGTGTTGTGAAGAGTTGAAATAGAGAAGATTGTGCTTCCTGAAGATAGAATGTCGTGGAGAGTGTGCGTCAAGGGAATTTTTTAAAGTTCACTAAGAGTTCCCATCAAAAATTTTAGGTCTTCAAAAAGTCCCTTGGGGCCCAGGTCCTTGAAGTACCTTCTCATTCCGGGAAATATGGGATCTAGAGGGCCCCAAGATCTGACTTGAGAAGAAGAAGGTCCTCACTGAAGACGATTTTCACTAAGACTAAACCTATCTGAAGAACGTGTTGAGTGTGGATCTTAACCCGGGAGTTCATAGTAAAGATCGTGTGTAGTATATAATCAATTATATCTACAAGTCGAGAACAAGGTTTGGGTGTCATGCAGACGGTAAACACTACTGCTGTCCACCTTGCAAGACGCTGTCGATGAAGTCGATGTGGTCGGCGACGCTGACGTAGAGGCCCGGCAGTTTGGAGATGCCGTTGCCCCGGCAGGAGACGCCGGAGCCCACGATCCCCACCAGGAAGCGACGCCCCTGTGGATCATCCTGGAACAGGGGCCCGCCGGAGTCGCCCTTTAGGGAGGAGGAGGAAGAATAGCGTTAACTCGTCAGGTTACATTCAGGTCTTTAGCTGTCCTTACCAAAGCCAAAAAAGTTACGTAATACATTTTTGTTTCAATTAGGGATCGAAGGGTAGTAAGTGCTGAGAGGGTAGGTGATGGTAATAAGCTAAATCACGTGCTGCTGTCTGGGATGAAGACATAAAATGTGTAAATGTCTGAAGAGAGAGAAGAACTGAAGTCGAATGAAAATTATTAGGCTTGCTACAGTCATAATAGTGCCATTATTTGAATTAATATTATTGTTATTTATTTTAATAATTAGAACTTGCATGGTTATTTGTATTATTGCAATTTATTTGCCACTGTCATATAGAATACAGGAAACTGTTGGTACAGTGAAGGTTCACTAACCAGCAGTGAGGTACTCGTTACTGGTTGAACCTTACGTAAACATTTGTTGTTTAAGACAGACAGTGTATATTTGAAGAAATAGATCTGCTGTCCTTCGTTATATAAATTATATGCCAAAAAGGAAAGGTCTCATATACAGCAGTTAGTGAAGGGTAGACTGATATATATTTACTGGACGGTTAGAGTTAGACAATACTCACCATTCACAATATCTAGGTTAAACGTAGTGATGATGGAAAAGCTAAAATAGTATAGTGAACAAATTACTTCCATTACGTTAACTGAAGTTTAAACAACCCGTTCTCTCAACTAATAGGTCGCGTTTATTACGTTACTGGGGGGTAGAAACAGCCTAAGCTACTCTATCCCTTTGAGATGTATTTTTTTCCTGTCTCAATAAACATACTTGAACTTGAATTACGTTACGGTAACCATCGTTACAAACGCAACCTTCTACGACAAGTAATGACTCACAAACACCAACGTTTTCTGTACATTTGTCTTCGGCAGATTAGCTGCGTTGCTAGGCTTCGTTCCTTCTCAGGTTAGGATAGAAGGCTAGGCTAGTTGACGGAGCGGCCAGTCAAGAGAGAACAGGCTGGTTATTTCCCGAAGTCTCACCTGACAGGCGCTCCTCTCGGGGTAGGAGGCACACATGATGTCCTTGCCCTGCAGGAGGTCTGGGTACAGCAGCCGCAGCTGGGGCTCGAAGTCCTCTTTCTTGTAGATGTTCTCGCACTCAGTCGTATCCACCAGCTGCAGCTCGGCCTCCTGCAGTATGGGTGACTGGTGGGCTGTGAGGGATGGGGGGGGGACATCATGTCACAAATCATAAGATAATTAAAGAAGGGTCTTGTATAAGCTCTAAACACAGAGGAATATTTGATGTTCATTCTAAAACTTCATGAAAATTATAAAATAGTATTTTTCCAGTGCGACCCTCAAAAAAATTATTTCCTACCAGTTATTTTTCTCAGTGAGTTATGAAACAGCAACAAATTAAGAGTTTTTTTTTTACTGTTGCTGAACTACCAATGTTCTTCGATGGCGTGCAAAGACTTTGTAAAGTATGTTATATTTTCTTTATTGATTGTAATTTGATTTACCCTTCTTTAACCCAATTGTTTTTCTTAAAGAGCATCCACCAAGGTCCAGTTGACTGGACAACTGTCTCGCAGATGGCTGGACAATTGTCTCCCAGATGGCTGGACAACTGTCTCCCAGATGGGTGGACAATAGCCTAGCAGATGGCTGGACAATAGCCTAGCAGATGGGTGGACAATAGCCTAGCAGATAGCTGGACAATAGCCTAGCAGATGACTGGACAACTGTCTCCCAGATGGCTGGACAATGGTCTCCCAGATAGCTAGACAAAAATCCAGCAGACGGCTTGAACTGGTGCCCCACCTCTAGCGCCACGCCTTCCCGTGTCGGTGTGTCTATAAAGGACCTCGGTATTTTCCACATGTCAGCTGCCACATAATGTGTGAAGATCACGTGGTCCACAATCAACAGTTATCATTGTAAACACGAATATTCCGAGCGTTGCGACATGATGTTGACGGCGCACCCAGTGTGTGTGTGTGTGTGTGTGTGTGTGTGTGTGTGTGTGTGTGTGTGTGTGTGTGTGTGTGTGTGTGTGTGTTTGTGTGTGAAGCCAGATCTGGTATTTTCACCGCCGCTTCGCCCAGCTGTGTAACTGAGCGAACAATCTCAACAAGCCACATTCTCACAATACCAGAGTTCCACCTAGCAAGCCTCCCACCAAGCCAATTTCTCACTAAGATAGTCACCCACGAAGCCAATTTATCACCAAGCCAGCCTCCTACGCGGCTATTTTGTCGTTAATTGAGTCTCTCACCAAGCCACTATCTCACCAAGCCAGTCTCTCACTAAACCAGTGGGAGACTGAATGTGCAGGCTAATGCAAAATTAAGTACTTGTCTCCACTTCTGTACTTTGATCAGCTCAACTGTATTGTCTGACTCGGGCTGTACAACTGCTGCTCAGTCCCGCAAATTATTGTGTAGGGAGACGTGAGGGAGCTACGAAGCGCCTTTGGTGATAACCTGTTTCCGGGTTCACTTGTAGAACAAGTCTTGGAACCTTGAGTGCTGCCCAGGATGCGAACCCTGATCATCTGGCTGACCTGGATGGCCTGGCTGGTATTTACCATCATGGCTGACTTAGCCAGCCTGGATGAGTTGGCTCACCCTCAAAGTTACTTATTTTAACTAACATGTGATGTCTATTTTTATATTCCTGAATTTGTCTATTAATCTTCTCTTATGGCTTACACACACACACACACACACACACACACACACACACACACACACACACACACACACACACACACACACACACACACACACATGGTGTGTGTGGATTAGAGCCTTTGGCTCTAATCTATGCCTTTTTAATAAGAGAAAGAATTCCAGAATTCCTGGAATTCTGTGTCTTCCTGGAAGTAGCGGCACTACCATTTTCAAGTCCACTGGAGTCTAGATAACTCCCAGAAGCTGTGGGTACACACACATGACTTGTTCTACAGTTCCTGATTATCATCCTTCCAGGAGCAGCCTGAAGACCCAGTTGGAATGTTTATGATCGTTATTCGCTGGGCATATTTAAGGTTTCCGTTGTGCTGACCACTGGGCTCTAGGACAACGCATCTTAATGACGTCGTTAAGTTCTTCATGCGTTTCTTCTTTCCCTCTAATATACATCAGATGAGATCACAGAAGCTGTATTGGTCTAAAGCTGCATTTCTTCCGATATCTATGTACTCTGCGAGGCAGAGTACAAATGTGTCCGAAAAGTAGCATATGTACGTATATATACAGATACATGTGTATCTGAATATGTATACAGAGGCAGCTAGGTGAAGGGCAACACCAATACATAGTGCCTGAGAGTCGAAAACACAGGTACTCAAAAGGAGTTAGGACCAACTAATAGAAAATACCCCTCATAAGATTCTCTCAAAGTGAGGAGGCGGTGTACATTTCCCATGGAAACTGTGTCGTGTATTGTTAATGAGACAGTTTCGCTAAAAGGACTCTCCCAGTGGGCCAGCTTTTGTGGAAACTAGTTGCGGTAAAGGAGCCAGAAAATTATCCCTATGTCTGACTTCTTCAGTGAACCTCGGGATCATGAATCCCAGCAAAAATGTAGTCAATGTTCCAAGGAGAATATCTACGACTAGTTCACTAGTAACAGTAGACGAGCGTAAGAGTGCAGATAATGCTATCTGTGTTGCAGGCCAGATGCCTATCTCGCTGATTGTATGTAGAAGCGTTACTTTGTCCCATTGGCCATCTTCCATGAAAAAAAAATGTAAAAGGTATTCATAATTATTGCTTCCGGGAACTTGTGATGCTCTTTCACTGGTAGGAAACAAATGGGATATTTAATACATTCCAACTCTTAATTTTAAGATGAAATAACAAGTACAACAACAACAACACGCTGTCTTTATTACAAGCAGAAATATATACATATAAGATGCTTGTGTTAAAAGATTCTGGTATTTGTAAGGTGAGTGGCATGGAATGTGTACAGTGGCATGGAATGTGTACAGTGTCATGGGATGTGTACAGTGGCATGGAATGTGTACAGTGGCATGGGATGTGTACAGTGGCATGGAATGTGTACAGTGTCATAGGATGTGTACAGTGGCATGGGATGTGTACAGTGGCATGGAATGTGTACAGTGGCATGGAATGTGTACAGTGTCATGGGATGTGTACAGTGGCATGGAATGTGTACAGTGGCATGGAATGTGTACAGTGGCATGGAATGTGTACAGTGGCATGGAATGTGTACAGTGGCATGGAATGTGTACAGTGGCATGGGATGTGTACAGTGGCATGGGATGTGTACAGTGGCATGGGATGTGTACAGTGGCATGGGATGTGTACAGTGGCATGGAATGTGTACAGTGTCATGGGATGTGTACAGTGGCATGGAATGTGTACAGTGGCATGGAATGTGTACAGTGGCAAGGAATGTGTACAGTGGCAAGGAATGTGTACAGTGGCATGGAATGTGTACAGTGGCATGGAATGTGTACAGTGGCATGGAATGTGTACAGTGGCATGGGATGTGTACAGTGGCATGGAATGTGTACAGTGGCATGGGATGTGTACAGTGGCATGGAATGTGTACAGTGGCATGGAATGTGTACAGTGGCATGGAATGTGTACAGTGGCATGGAATGTGTACAGTGGCATGGAATGTGTACAGTGGCATGGGATGTGTACAGTGGCAAGGAATGTGTACAGTGGCATGGGATGTGTACAGTGGCATGGAATGTGTACAGTGGCATGGAATGTGTACAGTGTCATGGGATGTGTACAGTGGCATGGAATGTGTACAGTGGCATGGAATGTGTACAGTGGCATGGAATGTGTACAGTGGCATGGAATGTGTACAGTGGCAAGGAATGTGTACAGTGGCAAGGAATGTGTACAGTGGCATGGAATGTGTACAGTGGCATGGAATGTGTACAGTGGCATGGAATGTGTACAGTGGCATGGGATGTGTACAGTGGCATGGAATGTGTACAGTGGCATGGGATGTGTACAGTGGCATGGGATGTGTACAGTGGCATGGAATGTGTACAGTGGCATGGGATGTGTACAGTGGCATGGAATGTGTACAGTGGCATGGGATGTGTACAGTGGCATGGGATGTGTACAGTGGCATGGAATGTGTACAGTGGCATGGAATGTGTACAGTGGCATGGGATGTGTACAGTGGCATGGGATGTGTACAGTGGCATGGAATGTGTACAGTGGCATGGAATGTGTACAGTGGCATGGGATGTGTACAGTGGCATGGGATGTGTACAGTGGCATGGAATGTGTACAGTGGCATGGAATGTGTACAGTGGCATGGGATGTGTACAGTGGCATGGAATGTGTACAGTGTCAAGGAATACTTACAGTAAGGGCAACATAGCTGGTGTATATATGAGTACAAGGAACTGAGAAAGATATTTAAGTTAGGTGCTGAAGATATCAGAAACTTAGAACTCGAAAATTTGGATTAAAGTAGAATGAATTTGGATTTAGAAAATCAACAGGCAAACACCGATTCGGAAAAAAATGGTTGCTTACCTACGGAACAAATTTCTAATAAATATCATACAAAGAGATTCAAAGGAAAGTTTCAAAACTCAAAGCAACTCAAAGAAAAATTTCAAGAATTGCTGGACATATGAGTCGCTGTATTTGGTTACAAATAGAAAAACATGGGCCTATAGGCCTTCAACAGATTCCCATATATATATTTTTTTTTCTAGGTAACGTGCAGATTTTTAATCTAATTACTCTTTGCAAACTTTGCTGTTCATATCACAAGTCAAGCCCTCAGAGACCTGCCCTTAAACATGGTTTCTCGCGGCGACCACAACATTACTAGAACATGGAAATAGGAAGAACAATTAAAGGCCAACTGAACCATGTAAAGCAGGCGCTATTAATACCCAATGACAGTTCCTATTTAGACCCATAAGTTTGTCCACACAACTCTAGATATACCAGCAGATAGACGGGACGTATCAACGCACCATTACTGAAGGAGTAAAAAGACTGATCAACCTTTCGTTCACACCTGGCGACCGGAGGGGTGATAACTACCAAGTGAACGCTTTCATCAGTCACATTCTGGATTTCCAGCACAGCTGTACCCATATCATTAGTATGTGATTAATCTTTCAGTAGAGGCTGTATTGTGGTACAGCTTCCGTGATGCCAAACACAAGACTTGGGAGGGACTCAATGCACCATTTTACATACACCAGCAATCTCAACGGAAACGTTTATCAAGGAATGGAAGAGGTAAATCACAAGAGAGTCTGTCAGGCACACAATAAAAAACAGTATTAGGATGACTTGAGACTCAGGTACTGTGTAATGGAAGACTGAGGAGAGTATTCACCGAAGAACAGCATTCAGCAACTCGGTAAGATGAAAGTATTGCAGGGATCATTCAAGAAAAGACTGACCTCCTAGTTGGGCCATTGAACTGGAACACTGCAAGCTCTCAGATTTAATTATCTATGGACTGAAGATGACAGCAAAACAGGAAGATCCTCTACTCCTTAAGATACTATAGACACAACAAACGGCTACAGGGTCAGCCAAGGTGGGCTCAAGGTGGCTACAAAGATCTGCGGACCATCTGTCATCATCCTTCATTATCATTCATCAGACCTGCGTGTCACAATGAATGAGGAACTCTCCGTGACCTGCACACGTAGTTACATTATTCACAATGAAGATTTGGGTTCAGGTCTTCATCTACAAACAGGTGTCACTGCTGTCAATCACTGCTAAGACCGTAAGGTCTGTAACCTAATAAAATATGTGTTATATTGTGTGACACACATATATTGCCTTTATTAAATGATACTTTTGCAGGTGATCCCTGTGTTCTACTGAACAGAAGAATATTAGGGATCAGCTACCAGATCCCTCTGTGCAGACCCCAGCTGTGTGTGTGTGTGTGTATGTGTGTGTGTGTGTGTGTGTGTGTGTGTGTGTGTGTGTGTGTGTGTGTGTGTGTGTGTGTGTGTGTGTGTGTGTGTGTGTGTGTGTGTGTGTGTGTGTGTGTGTGTGTACTCACTCAGTGTTCTATTGAACAACGTCGGCTCCATTTTAACAGAACGACAACACAGTCTACCAGCAAAGTTATGAAAGCTAAGAACATGTGGCGCCGCTCCGAGTCTCTATTATAGTGAACACCTTCAAAGGTTCGGGCTCTTAGTGAAGCTTCTAATGCAACAGGCACAGAAAGCCACTCAATTGGCGACAAGGTAAAACAAAATACACAGGTGTCCGCCATCATCAAGCACCCTCTGGCTGTACCTATCTCCAGGGCATTGCTCCACCAACGACTATACTCTCCAAACTTGACTATATTTTCCATAATAAAGTAATCCCGAGAGAACAAAATGAGGAGAAAAACCCGTCTCTCAGATGATCCCCCAACTCACCCTGCAATAAATATATATATATATATATATATATATATATATATATATATATATATATGTCGTACCTAATAGCCAGAACGCACTTCTCAGCCTACTATTCAAGGCCCGATTTGCCTAATAAGCCAAGTTTTCATGAATTAATGTTTTTTCGTCTACCTAACCTACCTAACCTAACCTAACCTAGCTTTTTTTGGCTACCTAACCTAACCTTGCCTATAAATATAGGTTAGGTTAGGTTAGGTAGGGTTGGTTAGGTTCGGTCATATATCTACGTTAATTTTAACTCCAATAAAAAAAAATTGACCTCATACATAGAGAAAAGGGTTGCTTTATCATTTCATAAGAAAAAAATTATAGTAAATATATTAATTCAGGAAAACTTGGCTTATTAGGCAAATCGGGCCTTGAATAGTAGGCTGAGAAGTGAGTTCTGGCTACTAGGTACGACATATATATATATATATATATATATATATATATATATATATATATATATATATATATATATATATATATATCTTGATAAGCCAACCAGTCATCCGAAAATTATAATAGTAATAGTATTTGGTAGAACGAACAAACACGTACTGTATGGAACCCCTCCAAAAAGTTCAAGTTTTGTAAAATTAATTTTACAGATGCCAATAAAAAATTGAAAACCAATGTTAGCCATTACTGGTCCTAGTATAGCACATATATATGTACTATATTAAGCCTAGCATTGCTGGGGACAAGTTAGATTAGGTCCTTTGGTTATATTTTTCGTTTAACAGAATGCCATTTTGGCCTAATTCAGTAATACAAAACGATAGCTTTTGGGCGGTTCATCACTACGTATTGGTACGGTGTGATAAACATTAAGGCAATGGTGTTAAGTAGAGGCACCAAGCAACTCACTAGCATTAACAAGGCCGAAGCCGGCGCCGGTGACGAGGGTCTTGGGCTTCGGACGTTCCCTCGACAGGCAGTAAGGGAAGACGAACTCGTTGAATTCGATCTTCTGGACTGTCCTTAGGAGCGCTATATCGTTATACCGCACACGGGTGTTCGGGCTGTGGACACGGGAGGTGTTAGGACATGGAAGTCTTAGGACACGGTAGAGTTATGATAACACAAGGGCAATAGGACGCGGAAGCCAGGGGCCAGATTCAAGAAAGCACTTACGCAAGCACTTACGAACGTGTACATCTTTCCTCAATATATGACGGCTTTGGTTACATTTATTAAACAGTTTACAAGTATGAAAACTTGCCAATCAACTGTTGTTATTGTTATAAACATCCTCCTGGTGCTTCGGAGCTCATTAACTGTTTAATAATTGCAAACAAAGCCGACAAAGATTGAGAAAATATGTACAAGTTCGTAAGTGCTTGCGTAAGTGCTTTCGTGAATCAGGCCCCAGGGTGATAAACAAATGAATGCCTCAAACACCCTACCGTCCGGGATGTGGACACGGGAAGGGTTGGGATGTTATTCTCTGAAGTGGACACATGGAAGAGCTAGTCTGTAGATCCGGATATGGACTTTGAGGAGTCAAGACCGTATTGGTCGGGTTTTGGACATAGAAAGGTCAATGCTAGACCAACCAATTAAGTTATGGTGTTGAATTTCGGGTTGTGGCTACGGAACAGATTATGTTTACATATTGCATACATATTGTTTGGACATGTTAAGCAATATTGATGTAAATATTTATGCTCAGTTACACATATACAAACAAACACACACACACACACACACACACACACACACACACACACACACACACACACACACACACACACACACACACACACACACACACACACACACACACACACTAACAACCCCCTTCCCCCCTCATATTGCCACATACTCGAAGTCAGGATGAACGATGATCTGCTCAACCTCATAGTCCACAGGCTTGGAGTTCTCTTCGGTGTCAGACGAGAAGTCCAGCTCTCCCAACCTCACCGTGCGCACTCTGGGGGTTATACAAGGGACGCCTCACTCACATATCCAGAATAACGCTTGACAGAACAGGAATATCTGCGTTTACAAGCTGTAGCTAATGTGTCATAGTCGTTCAGCCGTGCCAAGATCCCTGCGTGATCATCTAGTATATTTGAGTGGATATATGCTAAGCTAGAGTGCCTTTGCAATGATAACATCCAAACGAAATAGGTCACGATTCTGTGTATATTCTGTAAAGTTATTACCAGTGTTTTTGGTGTTAATCTGCTCATCGTTCTCTTAGTACACTCTTCTGCGATATTCCACTTTGGCATGAAAATATATATATATATATTTGTTTTTTATTTAAGTTTGTTGTGTGACCATTTTACTAACATGGGTAAAGGAAGTTTACCAGCTTGAGGTACTGGGCTTAAGACTTTTTTGTCTTACTACTTGTCTGAGACTTAAGACTCAGTAACCTCACCTTTTGGGAGGTTACTGAGGCCATGAGGTCAGTTTACTGCCTAACCAGCAAGTATATTTTAGTCCTGAATATAATTCAGAACTAAAACAAACTCTCAGAGAATACACAGTGAAAAACGGGGGTATACCTCTCTATGCATATTCCTTATTTAGCAGCTAACATTGAAATTTAACATTTAGCCCTTAAATATCGTACAGACGCAGGACTTACGGGAAGTCAGGGTTGAAGACGCAGTGAGCCGCCGTCAGGAGGAAGCGGTCAGAGATGGGCGTCGCCCCGCAGAAGGTGTCATTAACCCTGATCATGTTCCTGTTGACGGGGGTGAGCATGCTTGGTTTCCCTGTAGAAGAAGATGACGGTGTAAGCGACCACCACCTCATCTCCGACCCTCGCCCCGTAGGGATGTAGTTTTCATGAATAAGTATAGTCAGTGTTTAAGATCTTTAGCAAGATGAACATATAGAGGAGAGAGAGAGATTACCTGGTAACATAGTTATCGTAGTCGAGCTGTTCAGCGCTTGTCTCTGCAATGTGCAAGAACATGAGTTAGTAACAGGCAAGGCAGAGAGCTTCACAACATGTCCGAGGTTTGGTGCCTGGATGTACCACCTCTGGTTGTGTTTGTAGGGACGCTCAGCCTCGAAGAAGAGAATATGCAGCACCCGGGGGAACCTTATCGAGCCCCCCCGTGCGCTGGTACATATTGTCTTTTCCTATCACCACCTTATATATGTATATTTTATTTAAACTTTATTACAGAATAAGAGTTACAAACTAGGTTACATACAAGGAACAAAGTTGTTGTTACAGGTGGTCGAGTTCCTCCAGCTCCTCAGATAGCGGGCAGGAACCCTGAATGCATTGTGCATTTCCCCTCTGTATTGCCACGATGAGGCGCTAGAAAAAGCAGCTGGAAGCTCTAGGGTTTCTTGTTGTTTCAATTAGCCTTGATCCCTGTTCCTTCAAAAAAACTGGTGGTAATCTTACCCCAGGCGCCGAGTTTCTAAGAAGCAATGGGAACAAAATTGTAGTGGTGATCCAGTTCTCTGTACTTACGGGATTTGGCTGATTCCCTGTGGGTGGCAGCGCCACCTGGTTATGCAACACTGAAGTCAATGTAGGCGTTAGCCAGGGTTGATATGCAAGTGTATTCCCATAACAACTGCTTTCCGTTCTTCCAGAAGTTCACTGTGATACTATCTGGGCGACCAAAAAGAACATCAGAGTTATGGAGTGTTAGATAACGCGGCTCTCTCTCAGCTGGACATCCAGTTGTGGTGAGATTCTTCTTGATGATGTCGTTAACTTCACTGTGCCTCGAGTGCCATTTCCCTGTGTTTTGACAGAGCAGGCTACGCCGGCTATCTCTCTCAGCCACCACTTCGCCACAAACACACCTAAATTCGGTATAGATTGGGCCAGCAAGGCGGAAGACCTTCGGAGCGCATGCAGTGTGAGATGTGTGCCAGTTGCCGACATGGGGGTTGCTAATAGGAAGTCACCCACATGTGGGGCTGCTAATGCTGTGCAGCGAGCAGTGTCGCAGTGTTGTCGCAGCATTAAGTCACTCTGCAGCAGCTCGGTCTAAAATGGGGCCATCCTAGATGGATTGCTTCTGGGCTTTTGACGGTGGTGGTCGGAGTTCTCCGCCTGCAATAGAGTGGCACAGTTGGGATCGTGTGCACTCGGTGGCACAGTTGGAATCGTGTGCACTCGGTGGCACAGTTGGGATCGTGTATGCCTGCCAGCTGACCTAAGTAGCCAGGTAGAATTTCCTTCACTAGGTTGTCAGATGCTGAGGAGGACAGGAAGGTTGGAACAGTAATTTGTATTGCTGTTTCAATGCCCAGGTCCTCAAAGCTGACGGAGAAAGAGGTTTGTTTCCACTGTAAGTCATAGAGGGAAAGGTCGAAGGCTTTTTATAACAACGACTCTAGTAAACCGTCACATTTTCGTAGCGTTTGGCTACTGTAGGATATATATATATATTTTTTTTACCAAATCACCTCATTCTTTGGGGCACACGTGAGGAACACAAATGCGAACAACACTCATTCAGGCTTGTTCGCATTTGTGTTCCTCACGTGTGCCCCAAAGAATGAGGTGAATTGGTAAAATGCTATGCCCAAGATTACCATCCGAGTGCCGGCGGTGGGGTGGTTCAAATAGCTTCGGCTATCACCTCATTATGTCCGGTCGTGATGGTCAAGTGGATTAAGGCATATATATATATATATATATATATATATATATATATATATATATATATATATATATATATATATATATTCTATAGCAGTCATTCTTAGCCGTATTACATGTCCAAGAACAATACGGTAATAAGGCCAAGACGTCGTAAGGAATAGAACAAATAAATCGAAGTCTAGATGCTGAGAGAACACCCATGGGTTGGGGGTGGTGGGGGGGGGGTGGTGGAAGGACTGAGGGGGTCGTCAAGACATAATTACCTGGTTAACAGCCTTTCCCTTCATTTTCTCCAGCTCGTCAGGGAAGAGGATCTGTCTGGCTCGCCTGGTGCTGGAGCCTAGCGCCTTGCCGCACTCTGCAGAATACACCAGACACACCATGTAAGTCTTTTGTTTCCCTGTCGTCACGTCAGTAGCTGCGACGTCACGTGTAGCAGTGACGTCAGTAGCAATGACGTCACGTGTAACAGTGACGTCAGTAGCAGTGACCTCACGTGTAACAGTGACGTCAGTAGCAGTGACGACGTATGTAACAGTGATGACATACGCAGCCACTCAGAACGAAATGTCCGCGCTACATAGTCATTTCGTTCCGAGTCGCCAAATCTAAAAACAACAATAGCAGTGATGTATTGGCAACAACACAAGCAGCCAGCCTCCCCCTGACTGGCAAGCACAACACGGCCACACATCCTAACTAAACTTTGTAATTCAAAGACTCACGAAAATCAGGCTTGGCGATGGTCTTAATATTACCCCTGAAGACGCGACGGACGGCCGCCTCCGTAACCTCGCAGGCGTCGCAGGAGTGGCGGCAGACGTTAAGCATGTGCCGGCGGTTGGTCCGGCACAGACCCAGCCTCACCCCGAACGAGCAGTATGGACTCTTGTCGAAACACTCAGGATCTGCCGACGAGGGAGAGGAAACAAGTGGTTAAATGCGTAAATTAAATGCGCTTAAATGCGTATATTGTGTGTTTAAGCGGACTAGGAGAGCAGCCCGTCCGCCTAAGGTTTCTCCAATGTCAAGACACTGGCGAATTAAAGTGCCCTTATCCAAACCTACCAGTCGACCCCATAGCAGAAAACAGGAGAGAATGTCAATTTCGCGTGCCGCTAACTTTTATTAGTGCGACGATTCTTGGTCTTAGGTAGAGTATAGGTCAAAATGCGACGTTCTATTAGGAGGACGGGTCGGGGGAGAGGTGCCTGTCTGTTATTATAAACAATGCTCACACTATAAGCAACTGGTATAACTGGGTAGCTAGATGTGTACACAAAATGATGGGGAGGACTGAGTAGCCTAGTATATATGTCATCCTATCCTTCTGTTAAGACAGTACTTGTTGTAACTATGTCCAGCATAGTACAAATATTGACGTGCTAAACAATTAAGACAGTAGAACTTTGTACTAGTCACTTTACAGGGTCAGAAAAAAATGAAGCTAAAAAAACAAACATAAATGTTCATAGGCCTAGTATAGCACACATACAAACTATACTAGGCCTCAGATAGCGTGCATTAGACCTAGGAAATTTAGGTTAGGTTAGTTTGGTTTATATATATATATATATATATATATATATATATATATATATATATATATATATATATATATATATATATATATATATATATATATATATATATATATATATAATGGCATGGGCATGAATAGCCCCTTATAAAACAACAGGCTGGGCTGTATAGGTGCTTATTCATGCCCGTGCCACCTTTTGGGTGTCTTAATCTTTATCAATCAATCTGCATATGTGCCTTAGAGTAGATGGAGGACTCACCAACACAGGAGTCGCAGCTGACAGGACAGTTGGGCAGCATGAACTGGGGATGAGTTTGGCACCTGCCGACGGCTGCCCACCCCGGGCACTGCGGGGAATGGTCCTCACAGCTTCCTGCACCACAACACAACCTCTTGCTATATTACAGACTTGGAGATTTATCTTAGATTGGTAAATGTTGATGGAGATAATTTAATTGGTTAAAAATGAGAGATGTCGACTTGTTTAGCGAGATGGTTAATCAATCATCCTTTCAGATTTTAAACAATACTCTTATTATTAACAAACAGCTTGAATAATAAGATATACTGAATATGACCGAAATAATTCTTTCTTGTACAGATCTCTCTCTCTCTCTCTCTCTCTCTCTCTCTCTCTCTCTCTCTCTCTCTCTCTCTCTCTCTCTCTCTCTCTCTCTCTCTCTCTCTCTCTCTCTCTCTCTCTCTCTCTCTCTCTCTCTCTCTCTCTCTCTCTCTCTCTCTCTCTCTCTCTCTCTCTCTCTCTATATATATATATATATATATATATATATATATATATAATATATATATATATATATATATATATATATATATATATATATAATATATATATATATATATATATATATATATATATATATAATATATATATATATATATATATATATATTATATATATATATATAATATATATATATATTAATATTAATTATATATTAATATATATTAATTATATATTAATATATTATATATTAATATAAATATATATTAATTATATATTAATATATATATATATATATTAATATAAATATATATTAATTATATATTAATATATATATATATATATATATATATATATATATATATATATATATATATATATATATATACATGTATATATATATATATATATATATATATATATATATATATATATATATATATATATATATATATATATATATATATATATATATATATATATATATATATATATATATATATATATATATATATATATATATATATATTCAGCTCATCTGAGACTCTACCGTCCAGCCCAAGTGGCTGGGCAGAGAGGCATAGGGAGGATAAAGGTAAAAATTACAATGCAAGCAACAGATGTGACCTGTTCGGGTGTGTGTTTGTGTGTTTACATGGGAGGAAGTTAACCTATTAAAAGTTCCAGATTAATGTGATCCAGGATTCCCATTGGTGGGCTGTGGGTGAGAGTGGGCAGGGACTGACCTTCACCTTCAGGCGTGCTGGAGGAGGGACGAATCCAGATGTGAGCTGACTCTTTATAATGGGATAAGTGTATTTGATTGCTCCGATCTGGGGTGATAGTCTCTGATGATGGTCTCTGGTGATGGTGATTGATGATGGCCTCTGGTGATTGTTTCTGGTGATGGTGATTGATGATGGCCTCTGATGATTGTTTCTGGTGATGGTGATTGATGATGGCCTCTGGTGATTGTTTCTGGTGATGGTGATTGATGATGGTCTCTGGTGATTGTTTCTGGTGATGGTGATTGATGATGGCCTCTGGTGATGGTGATTGATGATGGTTTCTGGTGATTGTTTCTGGTGATGGTGATTGATGATGGTCTCTGGTGATTGTTTCTGGTGATGGTGATTGATGATGGCCTCTGGTGATTGTTTCTGGTGATGGTGATTGATGATGGCCTCTGGTGATTGTTTCTGGTGATGGTGATTGATGATGGTCTCTGGTGATTGTTTCTAGTGATGGTGATTGATGATGGTCTCTGGTGATTGTTTCTGGTGATGGTGATTGATGATGGTCTCTGGTGATTGTTTCTGGTGATGGTGATTGATGATGGTCTCTGGTGATTGTTTCTGGTGATTGATGATGGCCTCTGGTGATTGTTTCTGGTGATGGTGATTGATGATGGTCTCTGGTGATTGTTTCTGGTGATGGTGATTGATGATGGTCTCTGGTGATGGTGATTGATGATGGCCTCTGATGATTGTTTCTGGTGATGGTGATTGATGATGGCCTCTGGTGATTGTTTCTGGTGATGGTGATTGATGATGGTCTCTGGTGATTGTTTCTGGTGATGGTGATTGATGATGGTCTCTGGTGATTGTTTCTGGTGATGGTGATTGATGATGGCCTCTGGTGATTGTTTCTGGTGATGGTGATTGATGATGGCCTCTAGTGATTTTTTTTAGTGAACATTTAAAATATATATATATATATATATATATATATATATATATATATATATATATATATATATATATATATATATATATATATATATATATATATATATATATATATATAATATACTGTAATTTACAGAATCATGAAAAGTATATATTACCTCAATGCCTACTTTTTTGTAGCTTAATAAAAAAACTTGTAAGTATATGTTAAATACTTACCAAAATGAGCATATGCGGGCGTGAAGCAGAAGAGCACCAAGAGCATCAACGCCGCCCACACCTCACCACACGCCGCCATCATCAATGTGGAAGACGCGGCCTCGCTGCCTTGATGCAAGATTTGGAGTGAACCAGTTAACGTTGTTCTCAGAATCTTGTTGGTGTCTGTGATGCTGCAGGGAGTGTCTTCCTGTGGGGGTGAGAGTGGGTCTGTGATGCTGGGTGTCTCTTTTGGGATGAGAGTTGAGTCTGTGGGTGCTGGATGTGTGGTTCTGTGGAGTTTGGTCTCCACACTTTACCACCTCCCTCATCCTGCACACACAGCATCACCATCTGTCTGTCTCTCGAGTCTACCAGTGATATCGACTGTCGCTTGCCGTGCATAGTAATCTAACCAGAATGGATGGATTTTAGTGGATGACGCAGCTGTAACTAGGCCTCGCTCGGCCAAAGGCATATAACCAAAGATGCCTAACGTGCACAGAAGTGCACAAAATCATAATGAAAGAGGGATCATATCTAGATCGGTGTGCAACCAAGGAATATTAGCAGATAAATAACTATATTTATTATCGGGTCTCTCCTGGGATGTCAACTATATACATTGGTTCTGAGAGGCCACTGTGTGGATTGGTTGTTACCAGGTTTTCTGTTAATAAGAGCAGCTTAGAACGGTCGTGGAAAGGTATCGTCAATGATCTGGGACTCGTACCAGAAATCTACTGGTATCGCGTTCTGTAGGGTCCAGTAGATCCATATTTGAATCATGTCTCACCCTGTTATTTATCTTGACACAGTGTTGGAAGGGATTTACAAATTGCAAAATGCAGTTATGAGCATCGTACTTGAAAGGCCTTTATATATCACTGCGAGGCCTCAAATGAGCTTCAGGGTTCCCGCAGCGTCAGCGATCATGGCTTTGAAATTATTGCTGTTTATTTGCATCAAAAGACGCAGGCAAAGCCCAAATGATCCTTCCTGTCGTCTGAACATTATTCTTAGCTTCCACAACCCCGATTCCTTGCGTTCTGGTATCAACCTGTCCTCTCAACTAGTACGTCATACGTTATGACGTACTAGTTGAGTACGTCTATTGTACGTTTTCAACGTACAAATTACAAAGTACCTTGAAAATTGGACATAATAAATAGTGTTTTTGCTCTCTACTGTGATTCCAGGGACACATACCACATCCTTTAAGTATATTAAAGCTCTGTTCAGTTGAGTCTTTAACATGCAAACCAGCTGATATGTTTACAATATCATAGATATAAATATTTAATTATGAGGTTCTGATTTCAATATTTATCTTCTATTTAATAAGGGTTTCTGTGAAAGCTCTAAACAAGAGGAATTTGGTTTTTCATCGTTATTTGGTATTTATTGGCAGAGATCAATGAAGTTAATTTATTCTGATTACTTTTTAAGAGATCGTTGCAGTCGTGGTTGTGGCTTGTTTGATCAAATAATTGTAGATGTAGTGGTTGTTGTCTACTCCCACCCAGTACTAGTAGTTGAATGACTGTTATTGGTCTAATTCCACCCATAATTGGTAGTTGAAGGGGTGGATGTGGTCTGGTTCCACACAGTATTGCTAGTTGAAGGGGATGGATGTGTTGGTCTAATATTGTATGTTACTGGCAATTTGTATTAGAAGGTACGGTGTATTTCTGCACATAAGTGGTAGTTGCGTTGGTGGTTGTTGTCTAGTTACATTAAATTCCAATTTTTGCAACTACATCTATGGTCGACTACAGCCCAGAGATACTAATTGCGGAACTGGACATGGTTCAGTTGCGTTTAGTTCTGATACTTGAAGTTTTGGTTCTGATCTAATGCAGTCCAGTAAGAGTAGTTGGAGTGATGGTGATGATCTAGGTAGATACAATTTTGATAGAGACAAAGGCGTTTGCTCTCGAGTTTCCTCTGTTGCTAGTCGTTTCATGGGTGATTAGGGTCTTGTTCTATCCACAACTCGGAGTTGCAGTGCAGTTTTTTCTCCGGTGTCCAGTGATGGTACTTGCAGTAATGACTGACGTCTAATTCGGTGCAGCGCTGATAGTTGCAGCCACCGACCATCTCTAGCCTTGGGGCTACTTCCCACACTATCAGTTCCACATCCTGAATCAGTGTCATTCTCTACACAATAGGCGCCGCTCATCGCACAAGAGTATTACTGCCCACAAACTACATCTACATACCGTAACATAAGTGTTTTCTTACCTAAAGAACAAGTCATGAACAAGGCTGGTCGCTCAGTGATTCAGAAGACAAGAGCTATCTACATGGAAGATCCAGGAGAGCCAGGTCCCAAGTTTACACAGTAAAATAACAATATACTGGAGCGAAAGATATGGAAGTGCAGAACAGACCTGGTGAAAAGTGTAGAGGCCAAAGGTACAATTATTACGGGCTCACCATAGCCCGTGCTACTTTAGAACTTTTGTTCTAAGTAGCTGAATCTAAAACAACAACAACAAAGGTACAATCAGTGAACACTCTACGAACATCAGCGGTCCACAGCTATTTAGTATCTTCCCAGGAAAAAATTAGAAATATTGCTGGTACAAAAGTTGGAAGTGTCCCAGAGAAAATTAAACACATTCTTGCAAGAGGTGCCGGACCAACCAGATTGTAGTGGATATATAAGCCTGTGGGCCGCTCCAAGCACCAGTCTGTTGGACTAAGTTATCACGAGTCAAGCCCGGTCCCCGGTGGGCTTGGGGAATAGAACTCCAGGAACCCACACCAGGTATAACCCAGGTAGCACTGAGTGTGTCTACCACGCAAATTCCAGAGGAAAATGCATCTGCGATACGACTATATTGATGATTAAATTTGGGCTTCGCGACAAACAGGCTTTACGTATGCCGTCGGGGATTTGGTTATACAGCTCAAGCGCACGGGAATGTAACAGTTGAAAAACAGCAGGTGCAGATTTGGCTCTGCAACGGCAAATTAACGGGAATTTAGTTTTAATATGGAAGTCTGTCGGGGACTTTAATATTCTACTGCAGGCTGTCGGGTACTTTAATATTCTACTGCAGGCTGTCGGGTACTTTAATATTCTACTGCAGGCTGTCGGGGATTAGGTTATGTTATGGAAACTGGATTAAAAGGATATAGGTAAACAACGTTCTCTGTTCTCTCAACTAATGAATCTCGTTATTTTTTTAAGTTACGGGAAACCAACGCTACAAATTCAATCAAATAAGCAACGCTCCACAAATATTTGCCTTTTCTATGAACTGGACTAGATAGGTTAAGTGGGTTGCTTGGGTTAATACGTTTCTTGTTATTAGGTGGGATTTTTTTTTTCCATGGAGTGGTAAATAAAAAGAACAGGATGAACCATTCTCCACCCCCCACCCCCCACCACCTCCCCACCCCCATCCATCGCCTTTCCCCCCCCCCCTCGTCTTCTAGGCCCCTACCCCCCCCCCCCCCCCAATCGCCTTGGGAGATTTTATGGCCGGTGATCCGGACTGCCCAGAGGATATATAACAGCTATGAACTGCCTCACCCAATTCAACCAGTCTGAGACCAGATAATACCGCTCCGTGTGGCGTCGTGACACCCCCGTCTCGCCCGCGGTGTCGGCCCAGTTAGTACCATGGGTAGGGAGGGTCGATGGGGACACTAATCCATATAGTTACCCCTATTAGGGGGGCCGAGCGGACAGCACACTGGACTTGTGATCCTGTGGTCCCGGATTCGATCCCGGGCGCCGGCGAGAAACAATGAGCAGCGTTTCTTTGACTCTATGCCCCCTGTTACCTTGCAGTTAAATAAGTACTTGGGTGTTAGTCAGCTGTCACGGGCTGCTTCCTGGGGGTGGAGGCCTGGTCGAGGACCGGGCCGCGGGGACACTACAGCCCCGAAATCATCTCAAGATAACCTCAAGATAACCTCTTTACCCAACAGTAACTGGGGACCAGGTTATAAACCGACTGGCGGGTGGTGTTCAAGGTTCAGAGGAACAATAGGAAATAACGCCCTGCAAAATAATGATCACAAATAGGACCCAAATACACACACTGGTACACAGAAATATGGTAGAGAAAAAAGTTTAGCTGGGATCGATATCATGCGGGAGCCGGTCGGCCGAGCAGACAGCACGCTGGACTTGTGATCCTGTGGTCCTGTGTTCGATCCCAGGCGCCGGCGAGAAACAATGGGCAGAGTTTCTTTCACCCTATGCCCCTGTTACCTAGCAGTAAAATAGGTACCTGGGTGTTAGTCAGCTGTCACGGGCTGCTTCCTGGGGGTGGAGGCCTGGTCGAGGACCGGGCCGCGGGGACACTAAAAAAACCCCGAAATCATCTCAAGATAACCTCAAGATGCCAAACTTGTCTCCTGGAGCCCACATCAAACGATATCTTCAGCAGCATATGTTCGGTTGGCCAACATAAGAACTGCCTTTAGAAGTATGTATAAGGAATCATTCAGATTCTTGTACGTCCCATGGGTGAGACCAATCGTTTAGTATGCGGCTCCAGCGTGAAGTTCGTAAGTAGTCAAACACAAGACGAAGTTGGAGAAGGTTCAAAAGTATAGCACCAGACTAGTCCCAGAACTACAGGTTACAAGGACGAGTTCTATACGAGTTGACCCTCACGTCGCTAGAAGACAGAAGGGTTAGGGGAGATATGATTACCACATACAAAATTCCCATGGGAATTGATTGGGTAGATAAAGTCAGATTGGTCAGCAGGGACGGAACCCACACAAGCTTCTTGATGTTATGTTGAGATAATTTCGGGGCTTAGCGTCCCCGCGGCCCGGTCCTCGACCAGGCCTCCTTTTTGTTACACCCCCCCCCCCCCAGGAAGCAGCCCGTAGCAGCTGTCTAACTCCCAGGCACCTATTTACTGCTAGGTAACATGGGCATCAGGGTGAAAGAAACATTTTGCCCATTTGTCTCCGCCTCCACCGGGGATCGAACCCGGAACCTTTGTACAACGAATCCCGAGCGCGGTTCACTCAGCTGTCAGGGCCACTTGGAGGAGGCAGACACCATAGAAGTTTCAAATATAGATACCAGAGAGCCCAATAGGCTCAGGACCAAATTCACTTGACAATTGAATTCTGAGAGGCGGGATTAAAGAGCCGCAGCTCAACCCATCCCCCCCACCTCTCTCACACAAGTAGGAAAAACACTCCCAATCCCCACCAAGACTACCGCTACCAACGCTTCAAACAGCATCAACCAGGTATCAACCACTACTCACACGGAACACATTGACGAGTACGCCGGCTCCAAGCTCCCACCGTCCACACTGGCAGCACACACACTGACGTCAAGGCCCCTCTCACTGTTCCTCCCTGGCTGACATCAAGGCACCGCACCGGGGAATACTCTCAGCTCGCGGGGGCCCTCAACAGAATACAGATTATGAGTATTACGAGCTTGACTGTGGGGGCCCCTTTGACACGCCTCAGTATTGAACACTCGCTCAGCGCTCTTACAAAGTGTATCTGAGGCTTTTATGTCCCTCAGTGACAGGCGCAGAAGGAATTGAGGCGCTTATGTTATAGAGATACGAGGATATGTGGAATTAAGTAGGTGCCGGACGAAACTTTGTGAAAACGACCGAACTGCTTATGAATGTCGTATGAGAGAGCGCTGGGGTGGGGGGATTCCCTAACACCTGGAAGGCTTGGCTGGGCCCGAGGCACTAACTAGCACAGGTGAGTCCTACAGTCTCTCTCTCTCCACTGAAGTTACCACTAAAAAGTCACCTCTTGAACTCGTCAAAGGCGGCTTGAAATTCCGGTCGACCTTGAAACACGGGTCGTACCCTGCTGGCCACCACAGGTGTAACCTGCTGGCCACCACAGGTCGTAACCTGCTGGCCACCACAGGTCGTACGCAACACAAGTTGCGGGGAGTCTTAAATAGTTCTCAAACCAAACTGTACCGAACTGGTCGTGCCGGCGACGACAGGAATAAGTCAAAACATGTTACCCTGGCAATAGACCGAGTATGCTGACCCAACTCCTGCATGCTGGTGACGCTGGTAACAGGAGACGCCCTTGTATGGGTGGGACACAATATTTTTTTAGAATGGTAAATAATAAGAAAGGGATGAACCATTTTTCGGCAATGTCGCCCAATTGGGCAAAGTTGCCCACTGTCGGCAGCTGGCACACTTCTCACACCACACGGCAACAAGAATCAGACAAGAAACAGAGGGCTGGACAGACTGCATATTTCTGACTTGCCAGAAATATGGCAAGTCAGGGGTGGAAACAGGATGCCAGACACTGGATACCGAAAGGGAGATGAAGTCCTTCACGAAACGGACAGAGAGAAAGATTTAGGAGTTGACATCAAGCCAAACAGATCTCCTGAAGCCCACATCAAAAGAACAACATCGGCGGCGTATGCGATGCTGGCTAACATCAGAACTGCCTTCAGAAACTTGTGTAAGGAATCATTCAGACCCTTGTATACCACGTAAGTAATGCCAATCCTGGAGTATTCGGCCCCAGCATGGAGCCCGTACCTTGTCAAGCACAAAACGAAACTAGAAAAAGTTGAGGTATGCCACTAGACTAGTCCCAAACCTAAGAGGCATGAGTTACGAGGAAAGGCTGCGTGAAAATCGCCTCATTTCGCTGGAAGACATAATAGCTCTGGGAGACATGATCACCTCATTCAAAATTCTCAGGGGATTTAACAGGGTAAACAAGGATGGATTATTTAACACAGGTGGTACACGCACAAGGGGACACAGGTGAAAGTTGAGTAGCCAAATGAGTCACAGAGACGTCAGAAACAACTTTTTCAGTGTCAGAGTAGTTAGTAAATGGAATGCACTAGGAAGTGATGTGGTGGAGGCTGACTCCATACACAGTTTCAAATGTAGATATGATGGAGCTCGAGAAGCACAGGAATCTGTACACCAGTAGTTTGACGGATGAGAGACGGGACCTAAGAGCCAAAATTCAACTCCCGCAAGCACAACTAGCTGAGTACAACTTGGTGAATACACGCCCTCAGAAATGCTGTGGCCCTCCGCCTTGCTGCCCCAACCCACACCAAATATAGGTGTATTTGCGGCGAGGTGGTGGCCGACAGGTACGGCCACCATGGCCTACTCTGCCAAAGCACAGGGTGATGGCACTCGAGGCACAGTGAAGTTAACGACATCATCAAGAGGAGCCTCACCACAGCTGGATGCCAAGCTGAGAGAGAGACCCATTACCTAACGCCCCGTAACTCTGCTGCTCTTATTGGTCGCCCAGATGGTATCACATTGAACCCCAGGAAGAATGGCAAGCAGTTGGTGTTGGACTATTCGTGTGTTTTAACCCTGGCTAACACCTACATTGACTTCAGTGTTGCAAAACCGGGTGGCGCTGCCACTCACAGGGAATCAGCCAAATCCCGAAAGTACAGAGAACTGGATCACCACTACAATTTTGTTCCCATTGCTTCTGAGACACTCGGCGCCTGGGGTAAGAATGCCACCAGTTTTTTGAAGGAACTGGGTTCTAGGCTAATTGAAACAGCAAGAGACCCTAGAGCTGCCAGCTGCCTTTTTCTAGCGCCTCAGCGTGGCGATACAGAGGGGAAATTTCACACTGCATTCTAGGTTCCTGCCCGTCATCTAAGGAGCTGGAGGAACTCGACAACTTATGATAATCATCCTTGTACCTTATATGTAATCAAAACACACACACACACACACACACACACACACACACACACACACACACACACACACACACACACACACACACACACACACAGCAAGACTCGACCTAGTCTTCACTCTGAACGACTCCGACATAAGAGAAATCGGTTTTGAGGACCCAGTAGGAATGAGCGACCACAGTGTACTGGTGTTTGAGTACTTGATTGAAGAAGGGTTATTGAACTCGAGGAGGGATACCGAAACCAAAAGGTTAGCATACCGAAAGGGAAACTATGAGGGGATAAGAAAATTCCTAACAGATATAGCATGGGAAACAGAGCTCAGGGGAAAGACGGCCCAAGATATGATGGATTACATCACGCAGAAGTGCAAGGACGCAGCAAACAAGTTTGTCCCAGTCCAAAAGGAAAACAGAGAAATGAAGATGAGAAACCCATGGTTTAATCAAAGATGTAGGCTAGCTAAGCAGCAAAGCAAAAGGGCATGGAGAAACTATAGGAATAACAGGACACTGGAGAGCAGAGAAAGATACCAGAATGCCAGGAATGAATATGTCAGGATGAGAAGAGAGGCTGAAAGACAATACGAAAATGACATCGCAAGCAAGGCAAAGACTCAGCCTAAATTGTTGCATAGCCACATTAGGAGAAAAACAACAGTAAAGGAACAGGTTATGAGATTCAGGATAGGGGCGGAAGGATTCACTACAAATGACAAGGAAGTGTGTGAGGAATTGAATAAGAAATTCCAGGAGGTCTTCACCTTAGAACAAGGAGAAATTCCAGAGGTAAGTGAGGGAATAGCTAACCAGGAACCACTGGAAGAGTTTGAGATTACCAGTGGGGAAGTAAGGAAGTGTTTACTAGAGTTGGACGTGACGAAGGCTATAGGCCCAGATGGAATCTCCCCTTGGGTTCTAAAGGAAGGAGCAAGAGAACTGAGCCTACCACTCTCCATAGTGTATAACAAATCACTGGCAACAGGGGAACTGCCAGATATTTGGAAAGCAGCTAACGTAGTCCCGATATACAAGAAAGGGGATAGACAGGAGGCACTGAACTACAGGCCAGTGTCCCTAACCTGCATACCATGCAAGCTGATGGAGAAGATTGTGCGAAAAAAACTAGTGGAGCATCTGGAGCGAAGGAACTTTGTAACACAGCATCAACATGGGTTCAGGGATGGCAGGTCCTGCCTCACAGGGTTACTTGAATTCTACGACCAGGCAACAAAAATAAGGCAAGAAAGAGAAGGGTGGGCAGACTGCATATTTTTGGATTGTCAGAAAGCCTTTGATACAGTACCACACAAGAGGCTAGTGCGAAAGTTGGAGATGCAGGCTGGAGTGAGAGGGAAGGTACTCCGGTGGATAGAGGAATACCTAAGCAACAGGAGACAACGAGTCTGTGTGAGGGGTGAGGCCTCAGATTGGCGAGACGTCACAAGTGGAGTCCCGCAGGGGTCAGTCCTTGGACCTATACTGTTTCTGGTATATGTAAATGATCTCCCAGAGGGTATAGATTCGTTCCTCTCAATGTTTGCCGACGATGCAAAAATTATGAGGAGGATTGAAACAGAGGATGATAGTAGGAGGCTACAAGATGACCTGGATAGACTGAGTGAATGGTCCAACAAATGGCTGTTGAAGTTCAACCCGAGTAAATGCAAAGTAATGAAACTAGGCAGTGGAAACAGGAGGCCAGGCACAGGATACAGAATAGGAGATGAAGTACTTAATGAAACAGACAGAGAGAAAGATCTAGGAGTTGATATCACACCAAACCTGTCTCCTGAAGCCCACATAAAGAGAATAACGTCTGCGGCATATGCGAGGCTGGCTAACATCAGAACGGCGTTCAGGAACCTGTGTAAGGAATCATTCAGAATCTTGTACACCACATATGTAAGACCAATCCTGGAGTATGCGGCCCCAGCATGGAGCCCGTACCTTGTCAAGCACAAGACGAAGCTGGAAAAAGTCCAAAGGTATGCTACTAGACTAGTCCCAGAACTAAGAGGCATGAGTTATGAGGAAAGGCTGCGGGAAATGCACCTCACGACACTGGAAGACAGAAGAGTAAGGGGGGACATGATCACAACCTACAAAATCCTCAGGGGAATCGACCGGGTAAACAAGGATGAACTATTCAACACTGGTGGGACGCGAACAAGGGGACACAGGTGGAAGCTGAGTACCCAAATGAGCCACAGAGACGTTAGAAAGAACTTTTTCAGTGTCAGAGTAGTTAGTAAATGGAATGCATTAGGAAGTGATGTGGTGGAGGCTGACTCCATACACAGTTTCAAATGTAGATATGATAGAGCCCAATAGGCTCAGGAATCTGTACACCAGTTGATTGACGGTTGAGAGGCGGGACCAAAGAGCCAGAGCTCAACCCCCGCAAGCACAATTAGGTGAGTACAATTAGGTGAGTACACACACACACACACACACACACACACACACACACACACACACATTCCAGCAGGAACGGATCTGTACTACTAATCATGAGAGACTTCAACCACGGGAAAATAGACTGGGAGAACAGGGATCCGCATGGAGGACCAGAAACATGGAGAGCTAAGCTGCTAGACGTGGCAACAAGACACTTTCTAAGCCAGCACATCAAGGAACCAACAAGAATGAGAGGAGAAGATGAACCAGCCATGCTCGATCTGATATTTACCCTAAATGAGTTGGATATAAGGGAAGTTAAGATGGAAGCACCCTTGGGAATGAGTGACCACAGTGTATTAAACTTTGAGCACCTGGTAGAGCTTGGAATTATCTCCCCCCGAAAAAGAACTAGGAAACAAAAGGCTGGCATACCGAAAGGGGAAATATGAGGAGATGACACGTTTCCTAAGGGAAATACCTTGGCACACAGACCTCAGAGCTACGTCTGTACAGGATATGATGGACTATGTCACCCAAAAGTGTCAGGAGGCAGTAAACAAGCTCATCCCGTCCCAAAGGGAAAAATCCGAGAAGCAAAAGAAGAATCCATTGTATAATAGGGCATGTATGGAAGCAAAGGGACTGAACAAAAGGGCGTGGAGGAACTTCGGGAATAACAGAACACCAGAAAGCAAAGAGAGATACCAGAGAACCAGGAATGAGTATGTTAGGGTGAGAAGAGAAGCAGAGAAAAAATTATGAAAATGATATAGCAAACAAAGCCAAGACCGAACCAAAGCTACTCCATAGTCACATCAGGAGGAAAACAACAGTGAAAGAACAGGTAAGGAAACTTAGAACAGGCGAAGACAGGTATACAGAGAATGACAAAGAGGTGTGTGAAGAACTCAACAAGAAGTTCCAGGAGGTCTTCACAATAGAACAAGGTGAGGTCACTGTGCTAGGAGAAAGGGAAGTATACCAGGCGGCCTTGGAAGGGTTCGAAATTACGAGTGAGGAGGTCAAGAGATACCTGCTGGATCTGGATGTTAGAAAGGCTGTTGGTCCAGACGGGATCTCGCCATGGATACTGAAAGAGTGTGCAGAGGCACTTTGCTTGCCACTCTCCATAGTGTATAGTAGGTCCCAATATACAAAAAGGGCGACAGGCAAGAGGCACTGAACTACAGGCCAGTGTCTTTGACTTGTATACCATGCAAGGTCATGGAGAAGATCGTGAGAAAAAACCTAGTAACACATCTGGAGAGAAGGAACTTCGTCACAAATCGACAACATGGATTCAGGGAGGGTAAATCTTGCCTTACAGGCTTGATAGAATTCTACGATCAGGTGACAAAGATTAAGCAAGAAAGAGAGGGCTGGGCGGACTGCATTTTCTTGGATTGTCGGAAAGCCTTTGACACAGTACCGCATAAGAGGCTGGTACATAAACTGGAGAGACAGGCATGTGTAGCTGGTAAGGTGCTCTAGTGGATAAGGGAGTACCTAAGCAATAGGAAGCAGAGAGTTACGGTGAGGGGCGAGACCTCAGATTGGCGTGAAGTCACCAGTGGAGTCCCACAGGGCTCTGTACTCGGTCCAATCTTGTTTCTGATATATGTAAATGATCTCCCGGAGGGTATCGATTCATTTCTCTCAATGTTTGCTGACGAGGCCAAAGTTATGAGAAGGATTAAGACAGAGGAGGACTGCTTGAGGCTTCAAGAAGACCTAGACAAGCTGAAGAGCTGAAGGAATGGTCGAACAAATGGTTGCTCTCTCTCTCTCTCTCTCTCTCTCTCTCTCTCTATATATATATATATATATATATATATATATATATATATATATATATATATATATATATATATATATATATATATATATATATATATATATATATATATATATATATATATATATATATATATATATATATATATATATATATATATATATATTGGGCGCCATAACAAACCCAAGCCGGACCGGGAAATTAGCGGAGACATGAGAGGTTGTATAAGGTGGAGTTGTGGAGGGGAGGCAGTGTGTGAGGAGAAGCAGAGGAGTGCGGAGGTGGGAAGGTGTTCCTGCGCTGCTTCTGGTAAGCGGTCGCTGGTGTAGTGTGTGGGTGTAGTGGTTGGTGTTGTGTGTGGGTGTTGTGGCTGGTGTTGTGTGTGGGTGTAGTGGCCGGTGTTGTGTGTGGGTGTTGTGGCTGGTGTTGTGTGTGGGTGTAGTGGCTGGTGTTGTGTGTGGGTGTAGTGGCTGGTGTTGTGTGTGGGTGTAGTGGCTGGTGTTGTGTGTGGGTGTTGTGGCTGGTGTTGTGTGTGGGTGTAGTGGCTGGTGTTGTGTGTGGGTGTAGTGGCTGGTGTTGTGTGTGGGTGTAGTGGCTGGTGTTGTGTGTGGGTGTGTAACAGCGTTGTGTGGGTGCAGTGGTTAACGTTGTGTGGGTACAGTGGTTAATGTTGTGTGGGTACAGTGGTTAACCTTGTGCGGGTACAGAGGCTAGCGTTGTGTGGGTATAGTGGCTAGCGTTGTGTGGGTACAGTGGTTAACGTTGTGCGGGTACAGTGGCTAGCGTCGTGTGGGTATAGTGGCTAGCATTCTGTGGGTACAGTGGTTAACGTTGTGCGGGTACAGTGGCTAGCGTTGTGTGGGTACAGTGGCTAGCGTCGTGTGGGTACAGTGGCTAGCGTTGTGTGGGTACAGTGGCTAGCGTCGTGTGGGTAGAGTAGTTAACGTTGTGTGGGTACAGTGGCTAGCGTTGTGTGAGTACAGTGGATAGCGTCGTGTGGGTATAGTGGCTGGTGTTGTGTGGGTACAGTGGCTAGCGTTGTGTGGGTACAGTGGTTAACGTTGTGTGGGTACAGTGGCTAGCGTTGTGTGGGTACAGTGGCTAGCGTTGTGTGGGTACAGTGGCTAGCGTTGTGTGGGTACAGTGGCTAGCGTTGTGTGGGTACAGTGGCTAGCGTTGTGTGGGTATAGTGGTTAACGTTGTGTGGATATAGTGGCTGGTGTTGTGTGGGTACAGTGGCTAGCGTTGTGTGGGTATAGTGGTTAACGTTGTGTGGGTACAGTGGCTAGCGTTGTGTGGGTACAGTGGTTAACGTTGTGTGGATATAGTGACTGGTGTTGTGTGGGTACAGTGGCTAGCGTTGTGTGGGTATAGTGGCTGGTGTTGTGTGGGTACAGTGGCTAGCGTTGTGTGGGTATAGTGGCTAGCGTTGTGTGGGTATAGTGGCTAGGGTTGTGTGGGTACAGAGGCTAGCGTTGTGTGGGTACAGTGGTTAACGTTGTGTGGGTATAGTGGCTGGTGTTGTGTGGGTACAGTGGCTAGCGTTGTGTGGGTATAGTGGCTAGGGTTGTGTGGGTACAGTGGGTAACGTTGTGTGGGTATAGTGGCTGGTGTTGTGTGGGTACAGTGGCTGGTGTTGTGTGGGTATAGTGGCTAACGTTGTGTGGGTATAGTGGCTAACGTTGTGTGGGTACAGTGGTTAGCGTTGTGTGGGTACAGTGACTAGCGTCGTGTGGGTATAGTTACTAGAGCCGTGTGGGTACAGTGACTAGAGCCGTGTGGGTACAGTGGCTAGAGCCGTGTGGGTACAGTGACTAGCGTCGCGTGGGTATAGTGACTAGTATCATGTGGGTATAGTGACTAACGTTGTGTGGGTACAGTGAATAGAGTCATGTGGGTACAGTGGCTAGTGTCGTGTGGGTATAGTGACTAGTATCATGTGGGTATAGTGACTAGAGCCGTGTGGGTACAGTGACTAGCGTCGTGTGGGTACAGTGGCTAGAGTCGTGTGGGTATAATGGCTAGCATTGTGTGGGTATAATGGCTAACGTCGTGTGGGTACAGTGACTAGCGTCGTGTGGGTATAGTGACTAGCATTGTGTGGGTATAGTGACTAACGTTGTGTGGGTACAGTGGCTAGTTTCGTGTGAGTATAGTGGCTAGAGTCATGTGTGTTCAGTGGCTAGAGTCGTGTGGGTATAGTGGCTAGCATTGTGTGGGTATAATGGCTAACGTCGTGTGGGTACAGTGACTAACGTCGTGTGGGTACAGTGACTAACGTCGTGTGGGCAACTGATGGTGTGCACTTAAACAAGGTTCAAGAGTCTAACAGCAACACTGAAGACAACACTACACACAGCCACAAAACAAAACAACAGCAACACACTAGACAGCTGCGCCCCAAGGAGCGGCCAACTCAGGTTTTCCCCGGGTATTAGAGCCCAACATGTCAAGGTGTTCCGTCCCCCAGCAGCCGTAGCCTTGACCACCCTTACTTTCAACAAATGGAATGCATTAGGCAGTGATGTGGTGGAGGCTGACTCCATGCATAGTGTCAAGTGTAGGTATGATAGACCCCAGTAGGCTCAGGAACCTGTACACCAGTTGATTGATAGTTGAGAGGCGAGACCAAAGAGCCAGAGCTCAACTCCCGCAAGCATAACTAGAGGAGTACAGACCCATCTCTCTCCCTACAGATACACACATCCAGTATCACAGATCCAACAGGAGAGGGGCAGCGTTCTGTGGCTTGATCCAACAGGAGAGGGGCAGCGTTCTGTGGCTTGATCCAACAGGAGAGGGGCAGCGTTCAGTGGCTTGATCCAACAGGAGAAGGACAGCGTTCATTGGCTTGATCCAACAGAAGGACAGCGTTCAGTGGCTTACCCCAACAGTTGCTTCAAGGAAAGCCACATTGATAATGGCGTCGTGTGGTGAGGTGTGGGCGGCCTTGATGCTCTTGGTGCTCTTCTGCTTCACGCCATTACACTCTCAAACCGGTAAGAGAAAGATGCAGGTTTATGGAAAATTAAATTATATAAATTACGATGCTTTTATCCAACTTTGCAGGATGACTGGAGGGTTAAGGGGGGTGCATTGTCATAGGCGGATCTGCATCGACTCCATTTATCCGCTGAAAATAATTACAAGTTCTGCCTGTGTATGCTGATTGTACAAGCCCGACATGGGCGGGTTCAAGGAGAGTAAGCTCTCTCTCTCTCTCTCTCTCTCTCTCTCTCTCTCTCTCTCTCTCTCTCTCTCTCTCTCTCTCTCTCTCTCTCTCTCTCTCTCTCTCTCTCTCTCTCTCTCTCTCTCTCTCTCTCTCTCTCTCTCTCTCTCTCTCTCTCTCTCTCTCTCTCTCTCTCTCTCTCTCTCTCTCTCTCTCTCTCTCTCTCTCTCTCTCTCTCTCTCTCTCTCTCTCTCTCTCTCTCTCTCTCTCTCTCTCTCTCTCTCTCTCTCTCTCTCTCTTCTTATTGAGTGTATGCCCAACATGGTGGGATTAGGTTCACTACAACTGAAGAGGTAATACCCTGCCATGGTCATATACTGGCACCCAAGATGAGTTTGGCATTGACTACGCCTGGCTATTTTTTTTTAAAACAAAAATGTTAAAACATTTATTTGTTTTTTTCCGATTGTAATATATACAACACTATGGGCTGATGGTCAAATTTATCAGAAATTTTCTGCAATTCACACTTTGACCATAACACTATAAAATACTTAGCATCAACACAGCCCCTTCTTCCCCCCTACAGCCCCTTCCCATCGAAGGCCGATCCAATTCCCGCCAACAGATTCCAAGGAAACGGGTAACTATTTTATTCTTTGTATTTTTCATTAATTACAAAGACATCTGACATGTACTCTTATTGTCTTATTAGTGATATTGTAAGAAAGAAGAGAGAGAGAGAGAGAGAGAGAGAGAGAGAGAGAGAGAGAGAGAGAGAGAGAGAGAGAGAGAGAGAGAGAGAGAGAGAGAGAGAGAGAGAGAGAGAGAGAGAGAGAGAGAGAGAGAGAGAGAGAGAGAGAGAGAGAGAGAGAGAGAGAGAGAGAGAGAGAGAGAGAGAGAGAGAGAGAGAGAGAGAGAGAGAGAGAGAGAGAGAGAGAGAGAGAGAGAGAGAGAGAGAGAGAGAGAGAGAGAGAGACAGAGAGAGAGAGAGACAGACAGACAGACAGACAGACAGACAGACAGACAGACAGACAGACAGACAGACAGACAGACAGACAGACAGACAGACAGACAGACAGACAGACAGACAGACAGA